GTGTAAATATCCAACCCAGCTGTGACAGTGAACAATCTGAACCTGCAAGTGATTTAAGGGAAATCACCAGTTACTATAGCAATGGACATAGCTAAGACATGGTGGCTGCTTCACACTATGGCCCATTCCCTTCCATGATGACTGACTGAAGCCAGGGAAGGAGTCAGGCCAGTACTGTTTTCAGTGGGAGTTGCAGGTGCTCAGTACCTGTCAGGATCAGGCCTTAATTGGTTGATGTTTGTATAATGCTTCATAAATGAAAAATGCTACGGATTGTTACGGTCATGGCACTGGCAGCTTTTCAAAGTCCCTTTTCTGTAACAGGTGAAAGTAGGGTTGTCAACTTTCTACTCACGCAAAACCGAACAACCTTGCCCTGCCCCCTGCCCTGCCCTTTTTCCGAGGCCCTTCCCCCGCTCACTCCTTCCCCCCTACCTCTGTCGCTTGCTCTCAACACCCTCCCTCACTCATTTCACCCTGGCTCAGGGGCGGTTGTGGGGGCTCTGTCTGGGAGTACAGACTCTAGGGTGGTGCTGGGGGTGAGGCGTTTAGGATGGGACTCCAGGCTGGGGCTGAGGGCTTCGAAGGATGGAAGTGGGATCAGGGCTGGGGCAGGGGCATGGGAGGGGGTCAGTGGTGCAGGCTATGGATGGCACTTACTTTAGGCGACTCCCAGAAGTGGCAACATGTCCCCACTCCGGCTCTTATTCGGCGGCGTGGCCAGGCAGCTCTGCGCATGGCCCTATCTGCAGGCGCCACCCCCGCTGTTCCCATTGGCTGCAGTTCCCAGCCAATGGGAGATGCAGAGCTGGCATTTGGGGCAGGGGCAGTGCGTAAAGCCCCCTGGCTGCCACTACACGTAGGAGCCACCCGGGGGACAAGCTGCTGCTTCCAGGCACTGCAGGGAGCCACAGCAGGCAGGGAACCTGCCTTAGCCCTGCTGCACTGCTGACCGGACATATAACGGCCCGATCAGCAGTGCTGACTGGAGCTGCCAGGGTCCGTTTTCAACTGGGCGTTCCAGGCGAAAACCAGACACCTGGCAACCTGAAGTGAAAGCTGTTTTTAGTGAGAGTTTCAACATTTCTCAGGGTCAGCCCCAGAATCATCGAGGGTCTATTTCTGCACTCACTGACATCATTTTAAATTCAGAGTAACTCTGGCCACTTCACCAGAGCTACTCCAGATTTACACCAGTCCCCACTTTGGCTCCCCCATTGCTTTTTTATTCAGTCTCTGATTTGTAAGTGTAACTTTAGTGAACACAGATTTAATTTTGTTCCACTTCCAAAGCTGCTACATTGCCAGAATAATGAACATATGATGGTTTCTTGCCTGTCTTTTTATCGCAAATGTGGGCCTTGTGGAACTGGATTGATTTAGATTCTTTTTTGTAGGTCTTTGATTTTAGAGTGAAACTATGTGTATGGTTTGTACCGTAATGCTTTGATGTTAGACACTTGAACTATATATGCACATAAATAAACATTGCATCGTACAGCACAATTTTTAGAGGATCATATTTGTCATTTTCTAGCAATATGGCAATTTCCTTTTACCCTCTGGTAAAGCTGGACGTAACAAACAAACGGATGCCTGAATGAACCAAGGGTTATAAACTGAGCATAGTAACCTGGTTCAGAAAGTGCACCCAGCCAGAGGCCTGTAAGGCAGAGAGAGGGAAGGAGTGGAACCTAAGGTGCAGGAACATTTTGGAGACACTTCCCCACTCTGGTCACTGGAGATGGGCCAGTCTCACACATTATGCAATTATAATGTCCTGCACATCTATAGCATCTGCTGCTCAGTGGTGTCAAAAGCACCTCACAGGCATGAATGAATTTAGCCTTTCAGTATTACAATTGCACAAGAAGACTGCGGCAGAGTGAGAAACAACCCAGGTCAGGGTCTCCTGTCTCCCTCTTCTGTGCCAGAAACACAAGACCATCCTTCTGACTGACAAGGTCTGGGCATAAGTGGTGCACAGCTTTGCTGTCTTTTCTCTTCTGCAAAAATCCTAAAGAAAGAGCTAAGACAGGGCTTATGCATAGAAGACTTTGGTGACAAAGCCCCAAATTGCAAGTAGAAGCAACAAAACTGCTGTTTATCCAAATGATGTAGGATTTATTAACTTATGGAGAATTTGGCCTTACAAGGTGTGGAGCATTCCTAGGCGATTCTGAGTGCCCTCAGCTATCACAGACTTCAGTGAGCATTGATTGTGCTCAGCACCATGCAGAATGGTGCTTCAACACAAGGTGAAACAGCATGAAAAGAACATGAATAGACCGATTACTTTTAGTACACGAGAGAGCAAAGCACGTTATGGAAAACAAATCCTCAGTTTGTGTCTGTTTGAGATGCTCGCTGCACTGGAGCATAGAATAAAACCAATGGACACATTTTTGAACCTCCCCGCACTTTGTGAGGCTTTATATATTAAAGTTGTTCTATACAATATAGTTATCCTGGCAAAACACTCCAATCATTTAGGTTTTTTTTTTAAATACCCACAAACATTTAGAACAGGTGTTACTTAGATCCCCTTTGGAGACTCACCTACCTCAAGGCAGGGACAGAAATGAGCCATGAACATAGCATTGTTCTTCTGCTAATTAAATTCTAGTTAAAGTTTTACTTCCCCTGCAAGCTGCCTTCTTAATCCTTAGCCTTGAACAGTAAATGAGCAAACCTTACACACTGACTTGATGTCCAGGACAAATGGTCTTCTCTGACACCGGTTCCAGCTCCAGTCAGCAGTTCCTAGGACTCACCTTGTGAGCAGAGTGCTGCTTGCAGGGCCGGCTCTGGCTTTTTTGCCGCCCCAGGCAAAAAAGCCTCCCGCTGCCCCCCCACCCCCCCGCAAGGGAGGGCGGCGAGCTCTGCCGAGGAGAGCGGAGCCCCAGCGGCCAGAGCGCCGGGGGGAGGGCGGCGAGCCTGGCTGGGGCTCCGCTCTCCCTGGCGGCCAGAGGCAGCGCTGGGGGGAGGGCGGCGAGCCCGGTCGCAGCCCCGCTCTCGGGCTGGAGCGCCGCGCCGCCCCCCTCCAGGTGCCACCCCAAGCACCAGCTTGGTGGGCTGGTGCCTGGAGCCGGCCCTGGCTGCTTGCCCTGCCTTTTTAGCTCAGCTGTGAAAACCACAGTAAGTTCAGGCTTTGGCTAAAGCAGTGGAATCTTGACGTATGATAGACAGTGTACACACTTCTCAAACAGCAAGAAAACCACATTAACATCTGCCAATCGAAAAAATCTACACCAGCAGAGCAAACTACATAGATAATTACCCATGAGGCACTTATTAGCTCTTCACCACTGTTCTTCACATATCCCCCAGTGTGGGAAAAAGGTGAAAGACTGAACTTCAAAATACCCCAACCTGCAGGGCCGGTGCTACCATTAAGGCGAACTAGGCGGTTGCCTAAGGCACCAAGATTTGGGGGCGCCAAAAAGCGGTGCCCCCAATTTTTTTTACAGCGTTCCTCCCCGAGCGCACGGTCGCCACTCCACTTCTCCCGCCTCCCAGGCTTGCAGCGCCAATCAGCTGTTTGGCGCCGCAAGCCTGGGAGGGGAATTAGAGC